CGGTTGGGGGCCCTCCCCGGCGGCGCCCCAGCTGCTCTGCCCCCGGCTTCCCCGATTCAGCCGCTGGTCAGTTTTAGCAGCGGCTGAATAGGGGAAGCTGGGGGCAGAGCAGCTCCAATGGTCCGGCTACCCGAAGCACTTCCGGGTTCCTGATGGTGCCGGACCATCAGATGCCGGACCATCGGAGTTTTACTGAATTTCTTGTTTTTTAAGTTTTTCCTGTAACAGACTAACCCCTCTGAAACTTTGAATCCTGTAAGTTGTCCATCAGTTGTTGAATACTGACTGTTAAACTAATATTGATTTAAAAAAAAATCACAAATTCCCATGTAAGGAAATAAAACAGACTATATTGCCAGCTGTTATGAGAGAAAATCTTCTTAGTCAATGGGTGATCTTAAAGTGCTGCAATAAAAACTAGTCTCAATAGAGCTTAACAGACCCAGTGTTATGCAAACTGAGATGCAGATGAGTAGAAGGAGATTTGTGGTTTGCCAGTGTTAAGGAGGGAGCTCATGCATCGGTGTCCTTGAAAGTTATGTTTAGAATTAAGCATGCATCCATGATGGGAAGGACTACACTGTTCAGAACTTAAACAGAACTTCATTTTCCTGGACTGATACAGTATTTGCTTAGATTTGGGGAATCAGCATGGAGGATGACATTGATGTGGAAAATATTTACCATCTGTTCTGAAACTAGGGTGCTATAAAACAGCCTTATGATTGCACTCCGCCAAAAGGGCAGATGCATTCCCAATGCAGAAACTTCTTTTCCAGTTAGCCCAAGCCCCTAGTCATGTGAAAAAGAAACTATGGATGTGATGGAATTGCCGGAAGGAAACAGTAGTTCTAGTACTTGACCATTAATGACAGAAAAATCTTTGCTCTCCGATTATGTTGAACAACTTGTGATTGCCCTCTCTGCTAGTTCAGAACTCTGCATATCAGTCTGCTTTTGTGGATAAACTCCAGTTGTGAAACCTGTTTAGTTTCTTTCACGTTTGTGGTAGTTCCCTGGCAGAGCTTATTAAAAGGACTAAAACTAATCTGATCTACCTCAGCAGCGGTAACTTGTAAAGATTTAATTAATTTTGTCTGCTCTTCTATACTGACTCATGCCACTATTAAAAAACCCCAAAATCTATAGTGGTAAAGCCTCTAGTCAGAGACTGGGCTATTCAGTATCATATTTTACAAATGAGACAATTCTGTAATATTTGTGAAGTTATAAATAAAAGCAATCTACAGAAGTGCCAATATCTGTGTATTATGCCTGTGGAATTCATAAACACTTAGGGCTCAGACGGCCCATCTTTATTTCAAATCAAGATAAGCTGTTGTGTCATATTCAAATATGGTAACACTACCAGCTGTTCTGACTATCCACTCCTGCTAGTCATTTATGCCAGTGTTTTTATGCAGATTTCCCCTGACAGACCATTTTGCTAAAAACTCCCTGTGTAATATACAGTGGAACGCTAGTTAGCTGGTAAATTGTTTCCTGTATATCAGTGTTCCTGTTCTTTGTTGCTGATGGCAGAATTGGAGTAGAAATAGGGGAGGAAACATTGAACCCACTTTGAAATGAGGTATCTGAATTCTTGTTATGGTGGGTATTATGTGCTTGGAGGCTAAATGTGACTATACATTTTTTTTTTTAACCTTGTAAGAATTTTTAGCAAATTAAACCTTTCCTGGCATGATTTTTCATTCTCCATCTCCATTTTGTGACCGAGATCATGATTTAGAGGGAAATGTCTAACAGAAGATATATGAGAGAGAGAAAGACGTTTGATGTACGTTGGGGAGGCAGAAGAAATGTCTGACTTCTGTTTCATTTCTTCTCAGTGTCCAGATGGAAGAAGATTAGAAGGTTTGTCAAAGCAGCTAGACTGGGATGTTCGAAAGATCCAGCACTGGTTTCGCCATCGTAGGAACCAGGACAAACCCAGCGTCCTCACTAAGTTTTGTGAGAGCATGTAGGTTTGTGCAGAGACCAAAATATGGCCTTGATTCAAGCTCCAATTGTGCACTGTAATTGAATTTTTTGAATTTGTAGTGTAATTTAGTGTGTTTCAATATTACGGGAAGTATAAAGATGTGTGCACATCTCCTTGTGCCAGAGTACGATGTTGCAGAGGAGAGGTTTAACCCTGCAGGTTGACTCTCTTTGGATGCCACTCAACCCTCTGTCTAAGTTGTTAGGTCAGGCTCCTTTCAGGTGAACAAAACATCCAGATGTAGTCCAGAGTCCAAAAAAACCCTTTCCTTGTGGGCTCTGTGCTCAACTGTTTCCTGTAATTCCTCTGTCTTTATTTAGCTCTGGTATCAAGTACTGTCCTGCCCATCTCCAACCTTTCTGAGGCCCGTAGCCTCCAGCAGTCTGTGGTAGGTCAGCCCTCTGCATTAGCCCCTCCTTTCCTGTCAGCTCCCTTTTCTAGACTGAACTCTCTCACCCTATTGATAACACCCAGTCCTTATCAGCTGACCCTTCATTAGTCCAACCCTCTCTTGCTGATAAGTAAACGATACGGTCGGGGTTTTTATTATGGAGAAAAATGCCAACCTAACAAATTTCCATTCGGACCAATAGAGAGAAAATCAGAATGGCTTTCTACGATGCTGTCCTATCAGTTTGTATGTGTGCCATGAGAAATCAGAAATATTCTTTACAAGAATATTTATAGTCTAAAAGGTTAATAGTAATACTTTTAGGTTTGCATAGTGGACATGTCTCATGCAGATGGTAACACTTGATCTTGTGTATTCAACTGAGTAACTCCCCTCCAGACAAGGCTCTGGACAGTCTGATTCCTAGACTTGACAATTTCCTAAACTGATTTCATGTGTTAGGTAATGGTAGACACTCTAAGGGACACTTCATGGATTCTTGTTCCCTCTCAATTCTTTGTTCAGATACTTACTTGATTCCTCATTGCTGTAGTTTCTGAATATTTTCCCCTGCTCCTTCTGTGGTGGTTTCTCTTTTCCCCAATCACTTCCCTAATATCCTCACATAATTCTTCCTCGGTATTCCCCCTCCTCTCCCTGCAAGTAAAGGTTTGTATACTTAGAGGCACAGATAAGATGGACAAATAGAATTGGGAGGACTACTTCTATCTCTGGCTTAATTGGCCTGCAAGTGTAGTTTGAAACATGTTATGTATACTAGGGCATCTGCTATGTACCTACTGTCATAGTTTAGGGCATCTGCACCTGAATGTCCCCTTAGTTGTCCAGCTGTGGCACCCACTGTTATGCTCCTGGCCCACAAGCTATTGCCCTTTCTAGTAGAAATCCTCATCTGTCTTTTCCTTGACCAGAGTATTTCCAAGCTAAACAGTTCCTGGCCTTCACTGTTTTTTCCAGCTTAAGCAGGCATGCTTACCTTCTCCATTTAGAATTGGTACACAGTGCATTTACATTGTACACAATACCATCTACGTGTTTTGTTAGGCTATAAAGTGCTACCAGACCATTTATTGTTTTTTTCAGTGCATTTACAGATAGTTATAAGTTACTATCTTCCTATGCAAGTCTATTTAATTCTTAAGGTAAAAGCACTACAAAGAAAATATTAAAACCAATAAAACGACCTACAGTCATGATAATAAGCTTACCAAAGATCGCTCCAACATTGCCTCTGGCAGGTGAGTCCTTCAGACCTCAAAGGTCATGAGTTCAATAACATGAGTTCAAGTTTTGTGGTCATGAGTTCAACAACAGCCCTAGCTCAGAACTAGTATTCAGTCATATGGGATCTCAGTATTCAAAGTCCTTCCTTTGGGACCGGGATCTTCTGTGTGCTAGAGGTCTTATCCACTTTCTGGATCACAAGGAAGGTCTGGAGTCAGGTTCAATTCAGGCTCTTTATGGAAAAAGCTGTGTATTGTCCATTGGTCCCTGGACAATGCAGATTGGGTTTTTGACTTGTCCCTTTCCTCAGAGCAAAGCTTCAAAGTCTGAGTCTGAAGGTGAGGGTGTGCAACCCCCTTCTTGCCAGCCCCTTCTAGGAATTCTACTTCACACACATTGTCTCAGGGAGTCCTTTGAAGTTCCTGACCCTTGCCAGAGATTGCATTAGTCAGTTCCCTAGCCAAGTTGCATACAGTTCTATGCTAACACCTACATAACTTTGTTTTTAATACTGTAAACTCCAAAGTATTGACTTAATAATTCAATCATTGTTAATCTTTAATTCCAAAGGGCTTGCCCAGGCTATTGTCCTATGTTACGCTAGATCACAATGGTTTCTTCAGGATTGTTGCCTTAACATATGTACATGTTGAGAGATAATTTGGCATTAACCTTCAGATACATTTCTAAGACAATCTGTAGCTTTTTTGGAACTGTGCTCTTTATATGATTGATTCTTATAAAAAATATTTTTATTTTATTCCAAAGGCCAATATCAGTGGGTGAAAACTCCACTTGTGTACTTGCCAAATTTGGTTCCATTTATAATTATTCCATCTTTTGCTACACGAACATTAATCCTACAATACTAACGTATTGTAATTTCAAATGTTTAATTGTTTGCCCTTTCTCATTTCCATTTCCAGGTGGAAGTTTACATTTTATTTAAGTATATTTTCTTATGGATTCAAATTTATGTGGTCGGTGAGTTCAGTTTTGTTTTGTTTTTTACTTTCACTGCTTGCTCCAAGTACATGATGTGGAACTAAACTGGCAAGAATTCAATAGTCTCAGGTCTTCCTTATGCTTCCTAGTCAGATCCTTATGCATCGTCATTTAGAGGTATGCTGTCACAAAATAGGAAAGGTTGCCAGAAATGCTAGAAGACTCTTTTCTGATGCCAGAACAAGATGGACTTATCCACTCTTAAACAAACTTTGCTTTCTCACTTGCAAAGACATAGAACCATTTCTCTGGAATGTCCTTGCACAGAGCTCTGCAAAGCTCTACACTTCAACTTTAATTTTTATATGCACAATGGCATGTTTTTGCATAGGTTAAAGTAGATGCTAGGACTTGTCAGTGTTCCCTGCACTGGGGCCAGCATCCTCAGCAAGTATGGGGGAGAGTGGCTCTGGGGCCTCAGAAGGGACAGGGCCTAGAGTAGAAGGGCAAAGTTGGGGGCAGGACTATTCTCCCAGCCACTACTTCTTCATGACCAGAGGCTGTAGCAGTGGAAGCCAGGAACCCGGAGGCTTCAGTAGTGGGAATCTTGGGCCCTTTTAAAATGCTGGGCCCTAGGGCAGCTGCCCCTTTACTCCCTCCTCCCACCCCCATCGGGTCTGGCCCCGCTGCCACAGCAGTGCTTTGACCTTGCCCCTGGGGAAAAGGGGTACTAAAGCACTGCTGCCAACGGGGGAACAAGAAGTTGGCTCTGGGTGAGCCAGTCTGGTGAGCAGTTCTTACTGGAGCATTGCACCGGCTCACTTTTACCTCTGCTTTCTTCTCCATGAAACCCCAGAATAAATGTGGCTTGGACCAAAGAAGCAAGGTGAAAACCTTTGAAGTAATCTTGTGGTAGGGATGGAGTGCTTTAATTGGCCAAAGCCAGAGCATATGAGGAGAAAAATTCTAGTAGCATAATTTCTTGTTCTTTTCTCTCTCTAGACACCCTGGTTTTGGGACACGCGACAATGCTGGTACAACTACCCTTTTCAAGTAAGATATCTATTATTTACCAAAATGAAAGTAGAACACAGAACATAAGAACGGCTATACTGCGACAGATCAAAGGTCTATCTAGCCCAGTATCCTATCTGCCGACAGTGGCCAATGCCAAGTGCCCCAGAGGGAGGGAACACAGCAGGTAATCCTCACATGATCCCTCTCCTGTCACCCATTTATACAAAGAGGCTAGGGACACCATTCCTACCCACCCTGGCTAAAAGCCATTGATGGACTTAACCTCCATGAATTTATCTAGCTGTGGTTTGAATCCTGTTGAAGTCCTAGTCTTCACCATGTCCCTCTGGCAAGAAGTTCCACAGGTTGACTCTCTGCTCTGAGTGAACAAAAACTTCCTTTTGTTTTAAACCTGCTGTCTATCAATTTCATTTGGTGACCCCTAGTTCTTATATTGTGAGACTAAGTAAATAACTTCTCCTTATTCACTTTTTCCACACCAATCATGATTTTATAGACTTCTATCATATCTGCCCTTAGTCTCCTCTTTTTACTCTCTCTTCATATGGGATCCATTCCAAACCCCTAATCATTTTTGTTGCCCTTTTCTGAACCTTTTCCAATGCCAATATATCTTTTTTGAGATAAGGCGACCCACCGTTGGGGGACCACTGTAGTTACCTCTTTCCACTCTGAAAACTTACCATTTATTCCTACCCTTTGTTTCCTGTCTTTTTACCAGATACCGATCCATGAAAGGACCTTCCCTCTTATCCCAATACAACTTATTTTACTTAAGAGCCTTTGGTGAGGGAGCTCGTCAAAGGCTTTCTGGAAATCTAACTACATCATATCCACTGGATTTCCCCCTTGTCCACATGTTTGTTGACCTCCCCCCCCACCAAAGAACTCTAGGGCTACGTCTACACTGGCCCCTTTTCCGGAAGGGGCATGGTAATTTT